GCTAATTAGTAATTGCCCCCCAAAAAAAGAAAGTTAGCTCATTATTGAACTTTAGCCACCAAATTCCATCCACATTTAAAAAAAAAGAAAATTGCAGAACCCACTCGAAAAACATATGTTTGTCTTCCACCGACTTCAAAAAGAACTCAAACATAACTACATGTTGTATTATAAGATTCATACCCCATTCATATACCTAGGCTATGTACTATAGTATGCGTACTAGTAACCGGTTGAAGTCAGTAAGGTTTAAAACCCCATGCTCTGTACACTTGGGACGACCTCAGCTCTCCTATTCTATCTCCTGAGAAGAACGTCGCCTGGCCAATATGTAAACCTTTACTGCAGATTTTTCTTGCAGCACATTGTTTCTGATATAATTACACACCTTTATGATCTTGGTCAAGCAAGAAGACAATTGCCCTGTAGTAGTCTTTAAGCAGCTGGATTTCCTAGACCTAGTCTTTTGTCCCATTCTCCTTGAATATAGCCTTGAGTTTCCCAATGTATGAATCCACCACCCACACAATCTCAGGGTTCTCCCCAGACGATGGAACAGGGGCGCTGCGCCAGGCTACTCCCAGCTCAGCGCCAGTATACTACTTTCCAAATTTAGGGTGTTGCATCCCGATTTTTCTACAAAATTTCGCTAAAATTCGAGAAAATTTCCTGATTTCGGGGCTTAGTGGCATCTATTTTCCCGCCGGCATTGTCTCTGAAAACTTGTGAATGGGGCGATAATCGAGTAAACAATGAGTATTTCGCACGACGCTACTGAGAGAATCGCTGTCATTGGTGGAACATCGGGCGCCCCGCTAGCGTTTTGAAGTCGTGTAAAGAAAGCTAATTGTCTGATTTCTTTGTAAACCAAACCCTGATAATAAGTTTAAAAATAAAAGCCGATACGTTTACGAACTTATAAACCGTAGAAAACTCCCTACCGTATCGCGACATTATGAAGCATGTGGCGGCCGCGAAATTCGTTAACGCGACAGAAAATGTCTGGTTCATGATAGCGGTATTTCCCATGAAAATAACGTATACGATTTATTTTTCCCCTGCTGTCGGTTTTTAAGTCCCGAAACGTTAAAAAAAAGCAGAATTTTGCCCACAAACCCGGACGGGGGACGGCCTGTTAGTGTAGCTATCGGCGTAGCACATGGCGGCCGCGCCGCAAGGCTTCTGCCAAAAATCGGCAACGCGACAAAAAAACGCATGGTCCATTTTAGCGATATTTACCATAAAAATAACGTATGTGGTTTATTTCTCCCATGGTGTGAGTTTTAAGGTCTCAAAACCTCTAAAAAAGCAGAAATTTGCCGACGAAAACGGACGGGCAAGGCATGGGGAGGGCGCTGTTGCAGCCTGCATGACCCCCAAAAGGTCGAAGGTCATAGGGCACGTCCATTGCGCAATCACCTTAATTCGCCGATTTAGCTAATTTTAGGGCGTTTGAAAATTGATACAATCACATTATCGACTTGTAGACAAGACG